TGGGACATGGGCTAGATGGGTGATAGGTATTAAGGAGGGCAATTGTTGTAATAAGCAGTGGAGTTGTATGTTAAGTGCTGAATCACTGAATTCTACGCCTGAAAACAACATTGCAGTGTATGTTAACAAATTAGAATTTAATTAAAAATTAAGGGAGTGTGCCTAAGTGGCTAGGTCTATTAAGCATCCGACTTTGGCTCAAGTTAGGATCTCCAGGTTTTTGAGTATGAGCCCCACAATGGGCTCCTCACTGAAACTGCAGAGTCTGCTTATGATTCTCTCTCTCTAGTTCTGTCTGCCTCTCTCTTTCTCAAAATAAGTAAAGGTAAAAAAAACTTTACAAAAACTAAAGGAAATAATAAAGAAAAAAATGTAAACTTTATTATAGGCAGCAAGTTCTAAGTTTTAAATGTTCTACCTCCCCATGGCATTAATTTATATAGGAATTCTATGATACAAACAGACACATTAAATTATTTCAACATGGAGGAATGGAATACATAGAGGAGGAATTTCTACTTTTAGTTAATACAAGATAAATGAACTTTTGAAGTGAGGTAATAGGTTAGATTTTCTCATTTCAGGGAGGTGCTTTGTTATCTGATGAAATTACTGAGTTGTAATTTTGTGCGATTAAGATTAAAGCCTCCTGGGGCGCCTGGGTGGCGCAGTCGGTTAAGCGTCCGACTTCAGCCAGGTCACGATCTCGCGGTCCGTGAGTTCGAGCCCCGCGTCGGGCTCTGGGCTGATGGCTCAGAGCCTGGAGCCTGTTTCCGATTCTGTGTCTCCCTCTCTCTCTCTGCCCCTCCCCCGTTCATGCTCTGTCTCTCTCTGTCCCAAAAATAAAAAAAAATAATAAATAAATAAATAAAATAAATAAAAATAAAGATTAAAGCCTCCATAACATTGGAAAGCATAAACCAGAAAACATGATATCTGTCTCCAGTGTTCCTGGCATTTCTGCACAAAACCTCAATATGCCCACCACTACTTTGACATAGTTTCCGAGGACACAAAACAGAACTTAGAAAGGGCTTAACATAGAGTTCCTCAGAAATATGGAGATTCCTTCTGAGGCCCTCAAAACATGGAAAAGCTCTCAGATTATGGAGGCTGACCCACTCCAAGGGGAGTCACCTGGCCCTAACTGTAGATGTGATGGACCATCATTGGAGCTGAAGGAGAAGCTGAAGGACAGATGTCCCTCTGTGAGAAGGAGAAAAAGAAAATGAGGCTTCTCAAACTAACTTCCATTTCAAAGAGACTACTTGAACCACATTTGAAGTTCTATCTTCCCCCTTCATAGTTGGACCTCACCTCTGTCATCTACTTCATTCATGCCCACCTACCTGGGTCTGTGGCCTCTGTCTCCTTTCCCTTTACATCCCGAGGCTCCTTCTTTTACTGCAAAAAGATGACCAGGGCTGGCTTTGACACAATAAGACTTGTTCATTAGAAAAAAGGAACATGAGTGTGGTTGGAAACTCCAACTTCTGATATACTATTGTGCTTAGTAGGGAAAAGATGACACGGTAGAATTCTATAAAATTATTTCCCAAATGATGATGCCCAATAGACCCTTTAGAACACGCAGGAGGGATTTCTGATGTTTAGATCTTGATCTCTACTTCCAAAGTATCATCACAATAATGAGTAGAAATTGGAATTTAAGACAGGGGGAATAACATTTTATGCCATTCAATCTTTAGAATGGCCATTAATCTACAGAAATAAGATGTTACCTTAAGGAAGGCAAAGCTAAAGCAGAAAAGGAAACATCATGAAGGTATTTGTCTACATCTAACAAACCCCTACTTATTTCCCACATTGCATGGATCTGAATCCCAGTCATGCAATGAGGAAAGCTTCCAAGAGACAGTCTTCAAAGGAAAGAACAAAACCCTGAGTGTGGTTTGGGACGTCTGGAAGGAGTTACACTCACCCAAGAAGAGGAGGTGTCCTTAGTTCTCTAACATCACATCCCTGTACAGTTCCCGCTGACTGTGGTTTAGGAATCTCCACTCCTCCTGAGAGAATTCTGTGGCCACATCCCTGAACGTCAGCAGTCCCTGCAATAAAAACCACAGTTACCAAGTGGCCATCAGTAGAGTTCATATTGGTACCTAAGATGAAAGAGGGAGGTAATGTCACCAGCTAGACCTCAAGATGTGATCTTCATACTAATCTATTATGCCCAATGACATTTGTCCCACATTTTAGTTATCCTCTTCTTCCCATCTTATCTTTTACTTCAGGCAAAAGACCCCATGGGCATAGCCTCCTGTGGTAGAAATGGAAACTACATTAAAAAATGTAGTGACTGCCCTGAAGAAAAGCTTGGGCCCATTGATTTCAGCTTAACCCTTGACTCAAACCTATGGGAATAGACCAAGGTATAACCCAGGGAATGACAGACAGTTACACACACCACATTATAATACTAAACTCTCCACCCAAGGAGGAGAACAAACCTCATTTACATAAGATGCAAAGTATTTAAGTAACTGCTGTCTTAAGGTGCTTTTGCAACCTTGTACCCAACTCTTCATAAATGACAGAACACCTCTTTCTAAATATCCACCCTAACCCCAAGAAAAGGAAACCATCCCCCCCCCCTTTCTCTGTGCAACTCTGGCTTGGAAGTTATCCCCTCTGATCTCCTTAATGATTAAAAATCAAGTTTCCTTTCTGTGATGACCCCAGGTGGTATAGTTTCTATCTATGACTCTATTATATTTCAGGGTTTTAAGACATTCAAACATGTTTCTTTTCCTGAAAATACAAAAAAGTAAACAGAAAGGTTTTTCTCTGACCTGAGTGTGGAGGAAAATGCAAACCTACAGAATGGAGATCTAATTTAGAACCTCCACTCCCAGAAGTCAATATCTCTACTACTCCAAGGTGAGAGGCTTCATTGTCCAATAGAAACTGATGTGATGTAGGCTGGGAGCAAAGTGTCAAGAAAGCATTCTTGAGACATTTATGGTGCAAAAAAGATGTATTTATCAAAGCATGGGGACAGGACTTGTGAACAGAAGACCAGAATTGTCCACATGAGAAGCCTTCCATTATATACTTTAACATTGGGGAGGGGGGCTGGCAGAGATAAAGTTAGTGAACGGATTTTCATATGTTAAACAAGATATAGGATCCTGAAGGTCTGGCTGTTATCAAGCTAAAGTTGCTTTTTACTTGTAGCAAATATTAACATTAGGGCAGTTGTGAATTCCTTGAGGAATGTCATACTCTGGCTGTCTCAAATATTTATCACTGGGATGCAATTGAAGAAAATTTACTTTTCTCTAAATATCTTTGGCCCTTGTTCTCAACGGAAACTACAAGCAAAAGAAACTGAGCAGTTCTGTGTAAACATGATAGTTTGTCACATTAGTAATCCACCTAAGATCCTTAGGAATGACAAGAGGGATAATATGAATTTTATAGTGGAGGCATCTAGCAGACAGCATCAAGCCAAGTAAAAGAAGGTAACAGGAGCTGCAAGAAAATGAATTGATATCAGTGCCTAAGACACACTGAAGGACACATTATCACTGGTGTGTTCTTATGGCCGCCAAACATCAAATCAGAAGATACATCAAATTATGAGAATACAGTGGATTTATACACCCTTCAAACACATATAGTTTCCATGTCCTGTAATATCTAATATATTTTAGTTTTTTATTTTAATGTTTATTTTTGAGAGAGAGAAAGAGAGACAGAGACAGAGCACAAGTGAGGGAGGGGCAGAGAAAGAGGGAGACATAGAATCTGAAGCAGGCTCCAAGATCTGAGCTGTCAGCACACAGCCCAATGCAAGGCTCGAACTCACAAACCATGAGACCATGACCTGAGCTGCAGTTGGAAGCTTAACCAACTGAGCCACCCAAGTGCCCATTGAGAATATATTTTAAACAGACAATCGTTTTAAAATTTGAAAGAGCAGCATACTGCATCCCCCACTCCCACCTTTTTTTTGGACAACTTTCTGAGTTAATCTGGCTCTCATACCCATTGTATTTGTGTATTTTCTTAATCTTGTCAACACAGAGCTAATAAAGCATACAGACCGTACCTAATTAAGAACTTATTTCCGTAGCCATCAAAATCCTTGAAGAGAAAGCAGGCAAAAACCTCTTTGATCTTGGCCACAGCAACTTCTTAACACGTCTCCAGAGACAAGGGAAACAAATGCAAAAATGAACTACTGGGACCTCATCAAAACAAAAAGTGGAGAAGATATTTACAAACGACATATCACATGAAGGGTTAGTATCCAAAATCTATAAAGAACTTACAAACTCAACACCCAAAAAACAAATAATCCAGTGATGAAATGGGCAAAAGACATGAATAGACACTTCTCCAAAGAAGACATCTAGATGGCCAACCGACACATGAAAAAAATGCTCAAAATCACTCATCATTAGGGAAATACAAATCAAAACGACCATGACTTAATACCTTATACCTGTCAGAATGGCTAACATTAACAACAACAGATGTTGACAAGGATGCAGAGAAAGAGGATCTCTTTTGCATCGCTGGTGGGAATGCAAACGGTGCAGCCACTCTGGAAGACAGTATGGCAATTCCTCAAAAAATTAAAAATAGAACTACCCTATGACCCAGCAATTGCACTATTAGGCATTTATCCAAGCGATACAGGTGTGTTGTTTCGAAGGGACACATGCACCCCCATGTTTATAGCAGCACTATCAACAATAGCCAAAGTATAGAAAGAGCCCAAACGTCCCTCGATGGATGACCAGATAAAGAAGATGTGGTATATATACACAATGGGGTATTACTAGGCAATCAAAAAGAATGAAATCTTGCCATTTGCAACTACGTGGATGGAACTGGAGGGTACTGTGCAAAGTGAGATTACTCAGTCAGAGAAAGACAAATATCAAAGACTTCACTCATATGACGACTTTAAGACACAGATGAACCCAAGGGAAGGGAGGCAAAAATAGTATAAAAACAGGGAGGGAGACAAAACATAAAAGACTCATAAATATGAAGAACAAACAGAGGGTTCCTGGAGGGGGTGTGGGAGGGGGGATGGGCTAAATGGGAAAGGGACACTAAGGAATCTACTCCTGAAATCATTATTGCACTACTAATCATTAGTATGCTAACTAATTTGGATGTAAATTTAAAAAAGTAAAAAATAAAACAAGCTAAAATTAAAAAAAAAAAAAAAAAAAAACTTATTTCCTTGACTGAAATCCCAGCAACAGACCCCATCAGCAATAGGAATCCTTGATCCCACAACTTCCCATGTGGATCTGTGACAAAGGCAATGTTTCCAATAAGTGCAAGACTTTAAGTCAAAGTGACAAATGTTGATGGCCTATTGGCAAACAGGTGGGAGACAAGAGAGAGAAAACTCTGGGCCTTTAGAGAAGTGCTCTAAGTATCATTGAGTATCGCGTATCATTTATAAGAAGACTTTTAAAAATTAGGTGAAAATATGAGACAGAAACATCAGAAGGAATCAACATTTGCAATTTCTAAATGCATGGAATTTCAGGAGAAAAAAATGACAGGGACTTTTACCTGGGACACCAGCCTTACTGTAATAGGTCAACTTATAAGATATCAGAAAGCTTATTGTATACAAGTTCGGCTTAAACTCACCTTTCACGAATAATTGAGGCTTATGTAGTTCCCTGTTAGGGTTATCAGAAATTACCAACCACCCTATCTCGCTTCTGTGATCTCGCCTGCTTGCTAAATAGATAACTTAGGATGCAAAACCCTCCCCCAAACCTTCTACCAAGATCTGGCCTAGGCAAGACCAACATAGAAAAAGTCACCTACTCACTGCCCCACGGTATCTCAGGTGTCTAACTATGATTGGTCATTTTAAACCCTCTTAGGACAAAGACCTTTACTTTTTTTTTTTTTTCAACGTTTATTTATTTTTGGGACAGAGAGAGACAGAGCATGAACGGGGGAGGGGCAGAGACAGAGGGAGACACAGAATCGGAAACAGGCTCCAGGCTCCGAGCCATCAGCCCAGAGCCTGACGCGGGGCTCGAACTCCCGGACCGCGAGATCGTGACCTGAGCTGAAGTCGGACGCTTAACCGACTGCGCCACCCAGGCGCCCCAAGGACAAAGACCTTTAAATTGATAGGTTCCCACCAAAACTAATGTCTGTGTGTCACAATATAATTGGCTACCATGAAATGTTGTAAATTGTAATTGGTTAACCAAATAATGTATTCTGACTTGCTAAAATCCATATAAGCTCACTGCTACCTTTGTTCGGGGCCATTCTCTGCATTTTTCTCCTTAAGATCAGGAGATCAGGTTTGGCCGGCCGTGAATAAAATCTTGCCTCACTTCTATTCAGCGTCTGGGGTTTTTTTCGACAGCACCCTGTTTCATTACCTGAGAACTGGCCATTTCTTCTTTCACCTTAACTCCTAGATTCCTTTCTCAGAAGGTATTTGTGGAGAAATCACAGCTGCATCAGGAGAAAATGCCTTCAAAGCCACCAGCTGACTCTCCTCACGCGTAAAGTGCTCACCTGCAGACAGGACATTGAAATGCAGAAAACACCCAACTTCCCAGTTCTTTGTGTCCTGAGCTTTTCGGAAACTGTAAGTCCCTACTTGGAGAACAATGCCTGAGTTCTCCTTCTCTACTTTCAGGGGGCTCCCTTCCACAGAAGTTCACAAATTCAACTAGAGTATAGGAATAGTGTGCTGCATGGACCTGAAGCTCCCAGACTCAAGTAGAGGAGACCCTGCCTGTTACCACTCCTTGAGCCAACGCCTGCACTCAACTCTCACAAATGAATGGGAAGTCTGCCTGCTTAACCCTGGCCTCACTTAGAATCACCCGGAGCACTTAATTAAAACAACACTGTTGTTTCCACCCAACAAGTTGAGGGAATCTGAGCGGGATGGCAGCAGCAATGATCCTTCTTGAAACTCCACGTGTGATAGATCCTATGGGGGAGCACTTGGGGAAGTGACCAAGCAAAGCACAGTAACCGTGGCTATGGTTGTTGTCCAGATTTACATCCATACCTTCTCCACTGATCAGTTTCTGGAGATTTGCACATTCTCCCTCTTTCCTTTACACAGAAAGAAACACCCTTAAATGGAGTTTTTCCTCATGCTTGAAAATGTGTCTTACATAAGAAACTTATACTGGGTTTCTAGCTTTTTTTTTTTTTTGGTCTGTTTTTCCTCAAAATAGCAATGTTGGGGGCACCTGGGTGGCTCAGTCGGTTAAGCATCTGCCGCCTTTGGCTTAAGTCATGATCTCAGGGTTCATGGGTTCAAGCCCCACATCAGGCTCTGTGCTGATAGCCCAGAACATGGAGACTGCTTCATATTCCGTGTCTCCCTCTCTCTTTCTCTGCCCCTCACCCACTGGTGCTGTCTCTCTCTCATAAATAAATATTTTTTTTAAAAAAAATTTAAATAACAAGACATATTTTTGGCTGACAAACTGCACCCCTTCAGTATGAATCCTGTGATAATGAGTAAAGGTTGCAGAGTGATTAAAGACCTTACTACATTCTTTACATTGTTAAGGTTTCTGTAAAGTAGAAATTTTGTGATGTCAGGTAAGGTGTCAAGGGTCCATTAAAGACCCGGTCACCTTCTTTACATTTGTAACATTTCAATCCGGTATGAATTCTGTGATGTTTAATCAGGTGTGATTGTTGGCTACAGGCCTTGTCACATTGTTTACATTGGTAAGGTTTCTCTCCAGTATGGATTCTGTGATATCAAGTAAGGTTTGAGTGCTGGGTAAAGGCCTTGCCACATTCCTTACATTTGTAAGGTTTCTCTCCAGTACGAATTCTGTGATGTTCAGTAAGAGGTGAGTGTTGGGTAAGGGCCATCCCACATATTTTATGTATGTAAGGATTCTCTCCTGTATGGATTTTCCCATGTCCACTGAGTGATGAGCCATACTTAAAAGTTTCACCACATTCTTCACATTTGTAAGGTTTCTCTCCAGTATGCGTTCGCTGATGTTGAATTAGTGTTGAGTGCCAGTTGAAGGCTTTGCCACATTCCTTACAAATGTAACCTTTCTGTCCATCAAGGATTGTTGTGTTTATATTTAGTGTTGATGACTGACTAAACATGTTTCCATGTTCATTGCATGTGTATGGGTTTTTTCCCACGTGGCTCCTCGGATGATCACCAACATTGGAGGACTGGTTAAGAATTTCCCCACACTCAGTATATTCAGAAGGATTCTCTCCCAAATGTATTTTCTTCTAATAAGGTTTGAGCTTTGATAAAAGACTTCCCTACATGTAGTACAGTCACAAAGGTTCTCTGGCAAATGAGTCCTTAGAAATTTATTAACGTTTGAATCCTGGTTAAATATTTTCCCAGATTCACTACAATGAGCAATTCTGTTTTCATTGAAAATGCTGTGGTTTTGTTCTAAGGTCGACTGCTCAGGGAAGGACCCCTCAAATGGATACCACTTACCATTTTTGTCTTCCTTTTCAATCTCTGGTTTCGGAAATATTTGACTGAAAGGTTAATGCAATCCTATTGTCAAAACAGTACAAATAAGAATTTTCAGCATGGACTAGGTCACTTTCCAGATTTTCCAAATTTTTGTTCTGCAAATATGTCTGACCATTTGAATTGAGCCTTTGTTTATAGAAACACACTGCCTTGCAGAAGTAGTGGACTTAGAAAGGGGGGGGTTTCCAAAATGTTTTATATCCTTCACTGTTTGGGGCAGTGAGATTCATATAGTGGGCAGTTGTCTCTGTTTGCATATGTGCTCCATGAGATCTTTGATGCCATTGTCTCTCTCCAAAACTGTTCCAGTCTATCATTAAGCGTCCATTCTCAAGGGCACTATGTTTTTCTCTACCCACTGACACTCTTTGGAAAGAAGTTTCTCTGCACATCTTTGGAAGGGGGCTCTGGGTATCATTTGAAGATACAGCTGAAAGGTAATGAATAAAAGTAAAATCATCCCACTTTCTGCCGTCAGATGAATACAATTAATATTTCTTACACACAAAACTGAAATCAGAGAACTCCACTTCAGGAAAAAAAGAATCATTAGTTTTTCTACTTCGCTCGAATTGTATCTGAATTTAAATCCAAATATTTTTTTTTTATAAACTTATTGTTGGCCTATTTTACAACTTTGATGATGTTTGTTTATTTAGAAATGAAAGGTTTTAGGGTGCTTGGGTGGCTCAGAGGGTTGGGCATCTGACTCTTGGTTTCAGCTGAGGTCATCATTTCATCCTTTGTGACTTCCAGCCCCACATCCCGCTCTGCACCGACAGTGTGGGCCCTGCTTGGAATTCTCTCATCCCTTGCTGCCCCTCCTCCATTCTTTCCCTGCCACTCAAAATACACGGAAGAATAAAAACCACAAATTAAATGCAAGTCTTCGCGTGTTTGCTTTTTTAAAAATTGTGTGTAATAATGTCTTCTAAGTGCTATATTCACAACGGCTTTCATTTAGAGCATTCCATGGTTGATATTAATGAATATACTTTACAATTTTACTGTCCATGAAGACCTGCCAGTAATTCAAAATGTTCCCTTTTTCATGGGCACACGGTCACAGTTTAGTATTATATCTACAGAGGCATCTACGTGGCTCAGTAGGTTCAGCGTCTGACGTCAACTCAGGCCATGAATTCATCATCCGTGAGTTGGAGCCCTGTGTCGGGCTCTGTGCTGACAGCTCAGAGCCTGGAGCCTGCTTCAGATTCTGTGTCTCCCTCTCTCTCTGCCCCTCCCATACTCACACTCTGTCTCTCCCTCTCAAAACTAAATTTAAAAAAGATTAAAAATTTATGAAAAGCAAACAGTTTATAATTACAGCCACAAAAGGGCTCATGGGTGGTGGCTTAGTTGGTTAAGAGTCTGACAGTTGATTTCGGCTCAGGTCACGATCTCACATTTCAGGAGTTTGAGTCCTGCATGGGGCTCTGCGGTGACAGCGCACAGCATGCTTAGGATTCCCTCTCTCTCTCTCTCTCTCTCTCTCTCTCCTTCTCTCTCTGTTCCTCCCCTCCTTGTGCTCCCTCTCTCAAAACAAAAAAATAAAATTATACTAGGTTTCCTTTAAATAATTCACCTTATGTAGAATTTTTTGGGTTATATTTTGTCTTATTCTGTTTTTGCAATTCCATAGGAATGTGTTTCCTTTTGTATAGGACTTTACACAGCATTCTTTTTCAACTTCAGCTTGAAGTGTGGTTTTGTTCTTACCTGTGTATTTTGTTATAGGGTGACAATTTTCGACTCATTACATTTTCAGACAATGTCAGTGTAACTCAAAAATGAATCAGCTGTATGCCCTTTGCCAATAAAATGATCTAAGTATTCATGTGTAGAAATATTACCCATGATACTTTGTGAATCGTCCTGTGTTTTTCTTTCCTGGGTTAGTCGTCAGTGAATGTTGTCTCACGTCTACGTGAGTTGTCATAATAATAGAATTCATTTCATTATCTATTTATTGGTGGATGTATTGTGTACATATTTTCATTGCAGTTTCTTTAGAGATTACTTAAAACATCTTAAAGGTGTAACAAAACATTATATTCAGCACAGAACTTAACAGAGGGGTTGAACTCACAAACTGTGAGACCATGAAATCAAGAGACGAAATCAATAGCCATACTCGTGACCAACTGAGCACCCTGATATCCTATGTACCCCTAATATTAAACTGTGACTGTGTACCCATGAAAAAAGGAACATTATCAATTATTGGCATGTCTTCATGGATGGTAAAATTGTAAACTATATTCATTAAAATCAACCATGAAACCTCTAAGGAAAACTTGTACAAATTAAGCAGCTAAAGACATTAAATAGTGTATTATGTTACTATATCCCTCCAATGACACAGAATTTAGGGGTATAATACATTCTTTAGAATCCAGCATACAAAAATCTTTCCTTTCTTTTAAGTTTTTTCAAGTGTATTGAAAGAGAGAAAGAGAGAAAGGGAGAGAGAGACAGAGACAGAGACAGAGACAGAGACAAAGAGAGAAAGTAGGAGGGGCAGAGAGAGAGGGAGAGAATCCCAAGCAGGCTCCATGCTGTCAGGACAGAGCTTGATACAGGGATAGAACTCACAAAGCATGAGATCATGACCTGAAGCGAAATGAAGGGTCAAATTCTCAACCCCCTGAGCCACCTAGGTGCCTCAAAACCTTTCATTTCTAAATAAACAAACACCATCAATGTTGTAAACAGGCCAACAAGCACTTTACAAAAAAAAAAAAAAAAATCTTTGAGATCAAATTCAGATACATTCTGAGGGAAGTAGAAACACTAATGATTCATTTTTCCTGATGTAAAATTACATTTATAATTAAAACATTTTTCTCTAAATATAGGAATTTTACTGATAATCTACCTCATTTCTTATAAAGTGCATACCCATGTCATATCAGAACTTTTGATCTAGGGATACCTGAGTGGCTCAGTCTGTTGGGCATAAGACTTCAGCTCAGGTCATGATGTGAACTGTGAGTTTAAGCCCCATTTCAGGCACTGTGCTGACAGCTCAGAGCCTGGAGGATGCTTCAGATTCTCCCTCTTTCTGCCCTCTCCCGCTCATGATCACTTTCTCTCTTTCTCAAATATAAACTTATTTTTTTTTAATTTTGATCTAATAAATCATAAAGTAATCTCATATATTAACTAGTAAGAAAGTGAAAACATATATGACAAAGTCACAGGAACTTCATATTGTACAAGGCAAAATTATACAATGACTAAACTATTAAGAAATAATCTAACAATTGAGACTTTATTATAGGCTGTGAGTTTTAAATTCTAAATGTTGTATCTGCCCTATGGCATTAATTTGTGTAGGAATTCTAGGAAAATAATAGGTGCTTTAAATTATTTCACCATTGAGGAACAAAACATATAGAGCGGAAATCTCTTAGTTTAGTTAATACAAAAAAAAATGAACTACTCTTACTTTTTTTACGTTTATTTTTATTTATTTTGAGAGAGATAAACACCAAGTAGAAGAGAGGCAAAGAGAGAGAGGGAGATAGAATTCCAAGCTTGCTCTGTGCTGTCATCACAGAGGCCTGTGCGGGCCTCAAACTCACTAACTGTGAGATCATGACTTCAGCTGAAATCATATGCTTAACCAACTGATCCAACCATGCGCCCTCAAAACTGAACTTTTGAAATGAAATAAAGGGTTACGTGTTCTCATTTTAGGGAGGTGTTTTATTATCTGATGAAACTAGTGCGTCTCAATTTTGTACGATGAAGATTAATGCCTCCATAAATTTGGAAAGCATAAACCAGATAACATGTGGTATCTGCCCCAGTGTTCCTGGGATTTCTGGGCCAACCACCAATATGCCCACCACCACCCTGACACACGTCTCCCACAAGGCAAATACTCAGAAATGAATTAACATAGACTTCCTGAGAAATGCAGAGATTTCCCCAAACACTCAAAACAATGGAGAACGAGTCAGATTATGGAGGACCTCACTGTGGACGTGAAGGACCTACAGTGGAAGTGATGGAGAATCCTTAGAGAATGTAAGAGCATGATGTGTTGGAAAGCAGAAGTCCACTGTGAGACGAAGATACATAAAACTAGGTTTTTTCAAACTAATTTCCATTCAGGGAGGGCTGCTCAAACCACATTTTCATGTCTATGTTCCTCCTGGACAATGGCACCTCACCTCTGTCATCGGATTCATTCCCACCTACCTGGGTGTGTAGCTACTGTCTCCTCTCTCTTGATATCCCAGAGCTCCCTCTTTTGTTCCAAAAAGATGACCAGATCTGGCTTTGACACAAGACCTGTTTGTTAGAAAAAAGGAATAGGAGTATTGTTGGAGATTTTACTTTTCAACTGGACTCAGTGGAGAAGAGAGGACATTGTACAATTCTGGAAAATGATTTCCCAAATGCTGTTGCCCAATAGCCCCTTCAGAACACCCAGGATGGTTTCCAAGGTTTACATCTTGATCTCCACTTCCAAGTATTACCACTACCGTAACGAGTAGAAATTGGTATTGAAGATGGAAATACCATTTTATGGCACTCAATGTTTAGAATTGCCATTGATCTAAGAAATGATGAGGTTAGTCTAAGGAAGGGAAAACTAACTTGAAAGAAAACATCATGAAGGTATTTTTTTACATCTAAAAACTCCTACTTCTTTCTCTTATGTAGGGATCTGAATCCCAGTCATACAAAGGGGAAGCTTCGAAGAGACAGTCTTCAAAGGAAGGAACAAAACCTGAGTGTGGTTTGGGAAATCTGGAGGGAGTTATCCTCACCCAAGAAGAGGAGGTGTCCATAGGTCTCTAACATCACATCCCAGTATAGTTCCTGCTGACTGTGGTTCAGGCATCCCCACTCCTCCTGAGAGAATTCTACGGCCACATCCCTGAAGGTCAGCAGTCCCTGCAATAAATACCAGTTACCAAGCGGACACAGAAGGAGGTCATCAGGATCCCTAAGATGCAAGGGGGAGTTCATGGCACCAGCTGGAACCCACCTTCAGTGTTTACCTGCAGGTGCTCACTGACCTTAGTCCCTCAGTTTACTTAACCTCTTCTTTCCACCTTACCTTTTACTTCAGGCAAAACACCCCATGGGCATACTGTCCTGTGGTGGAAACAGAAAGTATCCAACAAAGGTAATGACTGCCTTGAGGAAGAGCTTCCATTGTCTCAATTTGACCTTAACCCCCAACTCACATCTATGCAGATGAACATTAGAGTAAGCATGAAGTGAGAACAGTTACCTTTATCTCATTATATATATATATTTTAAGTTTATTTCCTGAGAGAGAGAGCACAAGTATGGGTGGGGCAGAGAGAAGAAATCCCACCAGGCTCCATGCTCAGCATGGAGCTTGACTTGGGGCTTGATCTTAAGACTATGAGATCATGACTTGAGCCTAAATCAAAAGTCAGAAGCTCAAGGGACTGGGACACCCAGGAGCTCCCTTTTACCTCATTATAATGCTAAAATCTCCACCCATGGAGGAGCACAAACCTCATTTACTATGTAACACACAGTGAATGTATAGAACTGTTTTCTTAAGGCTCATGTACAACCTTATCCCCAGGCTCATTTTCTAAATATCCACCCTAACCCTAAATAAAAGGAAACCATTCCAGGTCGCCTAGGTGGCTTGGTTGGTTAAGCATCTGACTCTTGGTTTCAGCTCAGGTCATGATCTCATGGTTTGTGAGTTTGAGTCCTACATTAGGCTCTGCGTTGACAGAGCAGACAGTGCAAAGCCTGCCTGAGATTCTCTCTCTCCAACTCTCTCTGGCCCTCCCCTGCTCTCTCTCTCTCTCAATATAAATAAACTTATTTTTTTTTTAAAGGAAATGATTCTCCATTCCTCTGTGAGTCTCTGCTTTGGAAATTATTCCCTGTGATCTCCTTATTTCCTGTAAATCAATTTTCCTTTGTCTGACATCCCCACTTGGTATAGTTTTTTTGTGATTCACCAAGGACTGTATTCCTGTTTGTTCAGTTATATTAGGAGAACTGGTTCCTACTTAGATGAGTTTCTTGCTTTCTGCAGTAAGACAATTTGTAACACAGTATTATGCTCTAATATATTCTTGAATTTGAGGTATGAACCGTTATAAATATTGTGTTTATTCAAGAGAATTTGTAAAATAAAGGCATCAACACAGGCATACACATTTTGGAATCCTGTATTTCCATCATACAGTACATGTGGTGTCTATTTCTTAGTGGGAAGTATCAGTGAGTTACAAATATACTTAGTATATCCTAATCTGAATAGAACTCACAACAGTGCCTTGGAGATCTTGTTAAAATGCAGATTCTGTTCAGGAGTTCTGAGATGGGGTAGGTTTTTGCATTTCTAACAAGACATTAGTCTATGGGACAAGGGATACAAATACTTCAATAATGAAGAAGTAGAACTCAAATTCGAAAACTCTTTGAGGACTTGAAGCTGAACGGGTTTTATACCAATTACAAGTTCTTCTAGAATAGCAAGAAAGGCAACAAGGCTTTCCAAGCATTTCCTGGTTAGTAGAGAGCATCTAACAGTTTCTCATAAATTCATGGAAAATAAATAATACTAATCTAAGAGAGGAAACACATTATCCTTTTTAGTGAATATTCTGTCAAGCATCCAGTACTTGGTATGGATCAGATTTTTACCCAGGTTAACTGACCTAGAGTTGATCTAAAAGGACACACAGATCAATATACACAAAGGACCCTAAATCAATGTTCACAGCAGGTGTTAAAACCTGAGAACACTTATGGAAAGAAGAAGGTATGCACACAAAATTGATCCACGTTTATACATTCCATGCACACATACATATGTTTTAAAAGGAGTTATATAACATTAAACGTGATAGAATAGAAAATTATCAGGATGACTAAAAACCAATTTCAATGAGCAGTGACCGGGTGGCTTAGTCAGTTAAGTGTCCAACTCTTGATTTCAGCTCAGGTCATGATCTCAAGGTTCGTGAGTTCATGCCCCACCTCAGGCTCTATGCTGACAGTGTGGAGCCTGCTTGGGATTGTCTCTCTCCCCTCTTTCTCTGCCCCCCCTTGTCTCTCCCAAAATAAATTAAAAAAAAAAAAAACAACCAACCAAAAAACATTTTGATGGCATGAAACTCCTCAATCTAGTTGTAGGTGATAATGCTTAGGTCTTTTACTCACACTATGAACACGAACAGAATGATATGAATATAACAGTTTTTTTTTTTTTTCTGACTCTACTATGATGAAGGATACAAACAGAAACATGTTCACCTTCAACACAGAAGTCTGACCTAGGGACTGCATAGTTTGGATAAGCATCAAATAAAGACTGGGTCACACATTCAATTTTTCTTTTTCCATGTTTATTTATATTGTGAGAGAGAGCATGGTGTAAAAGGGGGAGGGGCAGATAGAGGAAGAGAATCAAAGCAGACTCCAGGCTGTGACTTAGCCACACAGGTGCCTCTGGATGCTGCATTTTTAAAACGGTCTCCTGAATGTTCGTATGTCTCACCAATAGTTATTATTGAACTAAATGATAGCCACCAGAGAAATCTTGCAGTAGTTTTGCAAGTATCAATTTAAAGAAATATTTGCGATTGAACACTCTGTGCAACTACCCTCCCCCATGAACATATAAGCTTCATGCAGCCAAAGTACATTTCTTTCTGCCCACGGGTCCTGTGCCTGTACTATTTTGGGAAATTCTCTGTCTTGTACCATACAGTACCTCAACAACAGTATCTTGACCATAGTGCTCAGTGATCCCGTAACATAGTATTTCATGGAAACCTTTTTTTTTTTTTAGATTTTTAATTTATTTATTCTTTACTGAAAGAGAGACAGAAGGCATAAGTAAGGAAGGGTCGAAAGAGAGAGGGAGAGAGACAGAGAATCCAAGGAGGCGTGGAGATGGAGAGGGAGAGGGAGAGGGAGAAGGGGAGAGAGAGAGAGAGAGTTAGTTAGTTGTGGGACGCGAACTCATGCACTGTGAGATTGGTGACCTGAGTTGAGTCAGATACTTAACCAACTGAGCCACCAGGCACCTCAAAAGCCATTTTTTAATTTAATGTTTATTCATTTTGATAAAGAAAGAGTGAATTCAAGGGAGGGACAGAGACAGAGAATCCCAGGAGGGCTCCCACTGTCAGCACGTAGCCTAACATGGGGCTCTACCTCACGAACACTGAGATCATGATCTGCACCAAAATCAAGAGTGGAGATTTCATTGACTGAGCCACCCAGACACCCCTTATTGAAAGCTTTTGTTTCAATCATCACTTGTGCTCTATGGTATGTCAGGATTTTAAGACACCCAAACATACTAATTATGTCATTCTTCTCTTTCTGAAAACACAAACAAGTAAATAGAAAAGTATGTCTGTGTCCTGACTATGAAGTGAAATAAAAACCTACAGGATAAAGGTCTGACTGATTTAGAACCTCTACTCCCATAAATCATTGCATCTACTACACAAGGTGAGGGCCTTCATTGCCCAGTGGAAACTGATGTGAGGTGGGCCAGGAGTAAATAAATGCTCAAGAAACTATTCTTGAGACCTTTTTGGTGAACGAAGCTGATCTTATTAAAGCACAGGGATGGGACATGTGGGAAGAATGAGCTGCAGTGTGATTGTGAGGAGACATTCATTATATACTTTAAGTTGGGGGGGTTGGAATAAAGATTCTGAAGGGATTTCATAGGTTAAAGAGGACTCACAGGATCCTGGAAGTCTGGCTATTGTCAAGGGAAGCTTGCTTTTCCCCTCTAGAAAAGCATTAACATTAAAGCAGTTGTAAATTCCTTGAGGAATATCTTCCTCTTCCAGTCTTAAGTATCTCTCAGTGGGTTGTAAGTTGTAAGACAATTTCATTTTACCTACATTTCTTTTGTCTTTGTTTTCCTCACAGAAACTGCAAGGGAGGGGTGCCTGGGTCCTAAGTCAGTTAAACATTTGACTCTTCAGCTCAGGTCAAGGACTCATGGTTTTCTGAGTTTGAGCCCTGAGTCATGCTCTGCACAGACCCTGTGGAGCCTGCTTGGGATTCATGCTTTCTCTGCAACTCCACTGCTCCTGCTCTCTCTGGGTCTCTCAAAATACATAAACTTAAAAAAAGAAATAAACTACAGAGAAAGAGAAACCAGGAGAAAGAAGGTACCAGTTTAAATGCGACGGTGTCTGGAAATCGCTCGGGAACTCTACCTAAAATCATTACAACTGATAAGAAGGAAAATATGAACGTTACTGGGGGGAAATCTGGTAGAGAGCCAAGGCCAAGGAATAGAAGGTAACATCAGCTGCAAGTACACCATCCATGTCAGTGCCTAAGGCACACCTCAGGACACACGGTCACCAGTGTGTTCTTGTGACCCCCAAACAGTAAATCAGAATATAAACAACTGTGAGGGGGCGCCTGGGTGGCGCAGTCGGTTAGGCGTCCGACTTTGGCCAGGTCACGATCTGGCGGTCCGTGAGTTCGAGCCCCGCGTCGGGCTCTGGGCTGATGGCTCAGAGCCTGGTGCCTGCTTCCGATTCTGTGTCTCCCTCTCTCTCTGCCCCTCCCCCGTTCATGCTCTGTCTCTCTCTGTCCCAAAAATAAATAAAACGTTGAAAAAACAAAATATTAAAAAAAAAAAAAACAACTTTGAGGATACAGTGCATTTATACAGCCTTCAGTCACATATAGTTTCCATGTCCTGTAATGTCTAGACTATTTTAAAGTATATTTTCCACATCCTAATGAGCAGGAATATTCCAGGTTATTCTGTGCCTCATATCCCTCTGGTGCATCTGTGCATTTTCATAAACCTTCTCTACCCAGAGCAGAGAAACCATCCAGATCAGACCTAAATGGGAACTGTTTTCCTTGAGTGCTATCCCAGAACCAGCAACAGGACACTTGGCCTCAACACCTTCCCCTCTGGCTCTGTCACAAAGGGAATATTTTCAATACTTGCAGGAATTTAATTCTAAGTGACAACTGTTGTTGCCCTACTGGAAGCCAGGTTGGAGAGAATGGAGCAAAGTGTCTGGGATATAGGGGAGAAGTGTTCTAAAGACATAACCTAGAATATCATTTCTGAGAAGGTTAAAACTTAGGTGAAAACATAAAGCAGAACCATCAGAACTAAAAAAAAAAAAAAAAAAATAATTGCCTTTTTTTTTTTTTTTTTTTAATTTCTCTTAGAGAGAGAGGATGCATATAAATGGAGGACAGGGAAACAGGGACAGAGAGGAAATCTTAAGTAGGCTCCAAACTCAGAAGGAAGCCTGATGCAAGGCTGAGATCACGACCTGAGCCCAAATCAAGTGTCTGATGCTCAAATGGCTGAAACACCCAGGTGCCCTGCAATTTCTACATGCACGGAATTCAGGAGAAAAAGATGACAGGTCCTCCGGCCTGGGACGCAAGGCTTACCTGAGAACTGGCCATTTCTTCTTTCACCTCCTCTTCAAGATTTCTTTCTCAGAAGAATTTGTGGAGAAATTCCAGCTGAAGTAGGAGAAAATGTCTGTAAAGACACCAACACAGCCTCTCCACCTGTAACCTGATCTCCTGCAGGCAGGGCTTTGAAATGCAAAAAAGGCCCAAGTTCCCAGTCCTTTGTGTCAAGAGCTATTCAGAAACTGTCATCTCCCACTTGAGCACCAATCTCTGAGTTTCCCTCCCCTGTTTTCAGGGTGTCTCCCCTCCCACAGGAGCCCACAAATTCTGCTACAGCATAGGAACAGTGTGCTACATGGACCTGACCCTCCCCAACTCTTGTACAGGAGACCCTGTCACCTCCCTTTGAGGAAAAGCCTGCACTCAACTCTCATAAATTAATGGGAAACCTTCCTGCTTACTCAGGCCTAACTTAGAATTTTGATAGGGAAAGATAGGATTCAGTAAGCAGAAAGGGAAGGATTAGGACCTGAGATCCCTGGGTGGGGAAAACACTTTTTAGAACAATGCTGGGAGTGTCTGACCGCAGCAAACCCCCTCAGGTGTAAGGTTCCTCTTAAGGATGTAACAGTTACCACCGACTTCCCCTCAGGTTCCCATCAGGAATTTGAGAAATAATTTTGTATATCTTTTGTAATATGCTGTCTTCTCTGGTAAACAGAATGCTTGAGTTGAAATCCTAGATTCTCCAGCAAGACTCATGTTTTTTGCTTTGTTTTCTTTTGTTTTTGGTAAATAGGTCTTGCTCTCTCTGGATCTGGTCAAGATTTTTGGAAAAGGAAAAAGCCCTGGCATGTGAAGAGAAAGGAGACAGTACCCACACACACAGGTAAGTGGGAATGAATGCACCAGATGACAGAGGTAAGGGCCAAAGATCAAAGGAGAAAACTTGACCTTAAACTGTGGTTTTGAAAGCTCTGCTTCAGTGGACTGATTCTGGAAACCTAGGTTTATTTCCGTGGTGTGTTTATTTCTCTGGTGAACAGAGGTGGTCACAGAGGGACTATCCTGTATCCCTCTTCTCATGTTCCTACATCCTCTAAAGAATTCCCTTCTGTGCCAATGTCTTCCATGGCATTCACAGTGAAACCCAAATGCCTCTCCATGGCCAGTGAGGGTCTGTGTGATCTGAAGGCTATTCCGTTGCTTTTGGGTGCCAGGTGAAAATCTCTACACACAGGCAGTTTCTAAGTGGAGGCCCCAATGTGATTTATTCCTCTCCCACTTTTGGGTACCCTTGTCTGTTGCAGACATGCACAAATACTGGTACATCAGGAATGTGTGGGTAGTTTGAATCTCCCATGTCAAATAGTATACAGAGCAGCTTTCCCCATAGAGGTTTCCTTATTGACCAGACCCTGTCCCCCATCCTCAGAAATCTACCTGGGAGCATGGTGCTTGGGTGGCTCAGTCAGTTAAGCGTCCAACTTTGGCTCAGGTCATGACCTCATGGTTTGTGGGTTCGAGCCTTGCTTTGGATTCTCTGCTGACAGCTCAGAGCCTGCAGCCTGCCTCAGATTCTGTCTCCCTCTCTCTCTCTGCCCCTCCCTGGCTCACTTGCTTGCTCTATCTCTCTTAAATAAACATTAAAAAAAAAAAAGTACCTGGGAGCCTCAGTGTTCACATTGGCCTCACAATGGAATACGTTGGGCCACTTCATTAATACCTAATTGATGCTAGGCCCCATCAAGAACTAAGTGCCAAAATCTTTGGGGTTGGGACACTGGAGATGGTAGTGCAAAGAACTACACAGGGTATCCCACCGGGAAGGCAAAGCTGAGAAGAACTTTTCTAAATGTTGCTTGTCAAAATTTCATGTATATACTAATCACTTCAGGTTACCATTAAAAAAGATTCTAGGGCCCCACACTCAGATATGACTCCCTAGGACTAGACGAAGGTCATTAGTTTGTACTTTTAACAGCCATTGAGGCTGGTAACCCAAGACTACATTTCCAGTAGCACTAAACTAGAGAAAGCAGAAGAGCACACCCGAGCCCCTTACACCCGACCATCTTATCTCAACATAAACACTGCTGTTGCCAGTGTGAAGATTAACAGCTTCTGGAAAGATGGCCTTTTCTGCTCATCCCCTGCAAGTTGGAAAGGGACTAGATAAGGCAGGGATGTCTGAACAAGGCTGTTTGGGGTAAATAATAGGTACTCATTCTTGAATGTCTACTGAGCATCTTTTCCATGCTCTAGGTATAGGAGGATGCAGTGTGTCCAAGATACTGTGCAGGGAATCAGACCCACATTACATGAGTCAATCTTTCCAAGTATCTTGGGAGTTGGGTACTGCACATTCATTTTTTCCAGGTGGGTTTTGGATGCTGGGTGAGCCTTCCTGGGATGAGAGATGGCTTCTCTTCTTTTTCATCATCAGTCATCTTGAAACAATGTTGGATATAATGGCACAAATATAGAGGAAAGATTGGGAAAGAGAAAAGAAGAGTGGATTAGAGGGATATTTAATAGGCCAGTAATTTTCCTTACCTATTTGGTTGATTTTATTAAAGAATTTTTTTTAATGTTTATTTATTTTTGAGAGAGTGACAGAAAGAGAGAGAGAACGAGTGGGGGAGGGGCAGTGAGAAGAGACACAGAATCTGCAGCAGGCTCCAGGTTCTGTCAGCACAGAGCCCAAAGCGGGTCTCCAACCCACCAAATGTGAAATCAAGACCTAAGCAGAAGTCAGCGGCTTAACCATGTGAGCTGAGCCTCCCAGGTGCCCCTAGGCGCCCAGTGTTTGGTTAATGCTAAATGTGGACTCTCAAAGGATGTCCCGGGAATGGAAGATGGGATGCTTTGGGTTACCTTGGAAGCACTGTTTTAACCAGATAGGTGAAAAGGATTCACCAAGTTGTAAGTGCTTGACTCTCCTCTATCTGAGTCTGAGCCTCAAGAAATCTTGAGCATCAGCTTGGGCCACCCAGTAGGTGGAGCTGCCGGAAACCCTGTCCTCTGAGCTGTTCTTTGAAAGGAGGATCAGGGACTGGCTGTGGAGGCATGGAGGGCAATATCCGGGCCCAACAGGTCCTCTTTCACAGAATCTGAAGGGAGAATTCTCTGTTGGGCTTTGCAAGCTGCATTTAGGCAGAGGGTCTCTTCCCAGTGCAAATTCAGGGGTAGCTGAGCTCTGTGCCCAGTGTTAGGCCCGAAGCATGGATCAGGAATGGGGCTGGGGGTGGTGTGTGAGAAGGGCCACTGGAGGTGGGATTGATGGGTCTGGTTGAGCCAAGATGAAAGCAAGGCTCGTGCTGGATAGACCTGGGCAGGTGAAAGAAGCCCGTGACTGTAGGTTTAGTCCCAAGAGGAGAGGTCTGTGCTACAAGTCCCCTGTGCGCATGTGCCGCACTTGGTGGCAACCTGTCTGCGCAGGCGCGGTGGGGAGCCATTACCAAGAGTGAAGTCTGGGCAAATGAGGGCACTTTTATTGAGGTCTTAAGAGCACATGCAAGACTGAGCAGCGAGGGGCAGGGAAAGAGGTCACACTGACTCTTAGACCCACAATGCAAGTGGGCAAAATGGAAGGTGATACTGTGTGGTGGTATTTCCTTGATTTTTGGAAGGCTTAGTTGACTGTAATTGCTTGTTCTTAAGTTAATTTTTGTCCTCTCCAGCGCAGTGACTGCGAATTACATCAAGGTTTCCCTACAGAGGCTTTGGGGCATTAGAACCACCGCAGGCTATGGCTTCCCGATTTCATTTAACTGTGGAAACATGGTTGGTAGGATATTATGTGGTGTTTATTTTAAATCCATTAGCAGGGGACATTTAGAAATAGTCCATTCAGTATAAGAATGCAGTCATGATGATGCAACAATCTCCAGAACCACCCAGTTAAGTCACATGTATTCACCTCAAAGATCACATTTCATGATGTGTGTGATAGGAAGAGCCAGACACATTCAACTATGTAAGCATATAAACAAGAAACTGTTGGAACAAGGACGTTTTCTTTACAATTACCGTGGTATATGATGCGTTTTGGTTTTTGTGAAATCGATTTTTACTGGTGTGAAAATACCACCCTCGTGTAGCATTAATAAAGGCAATTTGAGAATAAGTTTGATGTGACAATATTTATAGAAACATTGAACCAAGCACAAGATACTTTATTGCCTGTGTTACTCAATTTCAAGGGCAATTTCACATACACTCTGAATTTGCATAAGACGGAATATCCACCTCTACTTGAAAAATAGTTATCTCCGAAGGTCTAGCTATTTTTGACAGGAATTAATGTTACTTTTTATTTAAATATTTTATAAGCATAGACTTTATAATTTTCATATTATAATTCATGATATGCCTAAGGTAGTTGTTTTCTATCACTACCATAACCAGTCATCATGATTTTATAAGCGAATGTTAATACAATTGTGTTGTTGTTAAGTGTGAATTTCAGTGGACATGGCTTTACTTTCTGTTGAGGGTCTTGTGAGGTTAAAAATCAAGGTTTCGTGAGGCAAATATCTTCTGGGTCACCACACTCATTCCCTTATCTTTATGTATGCACAACCACTAGTCTGCTTATTTACGTTTTCTTTTTTCTACTTTTATTCAGAGAGAAGTTGTACACATTAGTCTAATATAATGTGTCACTTAAGGATTTGATACATGTATATATTGCAAAGTATTTACAATAAACCTAGTTAACATCCATCACCTCACAATTAGAAATTTCTTGGGTGTGATAAGAAACCCAAGAAAGCTACTCCGTTTAGCATCTTTCAAATAGGCAATACATTATTGTGAATTAAAGCCAGCATACACCTTATATACATACCACGTTATCTACTTTTCTGACAGGGGCCACAAATGTTTTTCAAGTCTTGGCTTTTAGGAATGTTGTGTTTTGTTTTTTTTTTTTTTGAGTTTTCACACACTTGAGATTTTTATTTTGTTTTGTACTTCTAATCGGCTTCTGGTTTTATGTCATTGTGTTTGAAAAAGATACTTCATGATTTTTTTTTTCTTTTAAGTTTGTTCCTTTGGAGATAAAGAGCACCAGAGTGAGCATACA